TGAGTCAGCTGCTCCAGGTACTAGTGAGTCTGCTGCTCCAGGTGCTGGTGAGTCTGCTCTCTCTGGTACTGCACCTACTGAGGCCTTGCACACTTTCACACTTGTTTTTGGTGCTTTGCGCTCCTTCTTTCGCGACAGCACCACACTCACGCCGCTCAGTCGGCCTGTCGCAGTCTCCCTGGCTGACCCCTCTGGGGGCCCAGTCCTTGCGCACTCTTCCACGGTTCTACCGTGTCCTGCGGCCCCGTCGGGCTTGCTGTCGGGACTCCACCTCCCCTCGTTCTCTACGAACTTGGTGAGTGGAGCTGACCTTCAGAACGTGTGGGTTGACCAGTTCACCCCTGGAGGTCAGCGTGTGACCCACTGCACTTGCTCTCGGACGGGCCGCCACCTGGCCACGTTCACCCGTCGGCCTAGGTCGAGTCTGTACACACTGACTACTGCGTCTCCCCCTGTTACTGCGTCTGGTCAGGTAGCCGCGTCTGGTCAGGTGTTTGCTGCTGCGTCCACGTCTAGTCCAGCGTCTGCCCCCTGCTCGTGTCGTCCTCTGTCAAACGAGACTCTCCTTTGGCACCACCGCCTTGGTCACCCCTCCCTGCCTCATCTTCAAGGTATGGCCTCCTGTACCCTTGACTCTGGTCTCCCCCGGTCCTTCCCTCCCCTTCCTCCGGGGCCTGCCCCTACCTGTGTTCCTTGTGTCGAGGGGTGGCAGCACGCCGCTCCTCACTCCTCCGAGTTCCCTCCGACAGAGGCTCCCCTGAAGACTCTCCACATGGACGTGTGGGGCCCAGCCTGCGTCCGTGGACAGGGTCACGAGCGTTCCTTCCTTTTGGTCGTTGACGACTACTCGCGTTACACCACAGACTTCCTCTTGCGCCGCAAGGGTGAGGTTACTGAGGTGTTGATCGACTGGATCCGCGGTGCCCGTCGCCAGCTCAGCAAGAGTTTCGGCTCGGACCTTCCTGTTTTGCGTCTGCACTCAGACAGAGGTGGTGAGTTTTCCTCCGACCTTCTGAGGGCTTTCTGTCGTGCGGAGGGCATCCGCCAGACGTTCACGCTTCCGGCCTCCCCACAGCAAAATGGGATTGCTGAGCGCCGCATTTGCATGGTCATGGACGTCGCTCGTACGTCCATGTTCCATGCGGCTGCTCGCCATTTTCTGTGGCCGTTCGCGGTTAAGTACGCTGCGCATCAGATCAACCTTCAGCCTCGTGTCTCCTTGCCGGAGACCACACCTGCTCTGCGGTGGACGGGGAAGGTTGGCGATGCGTCTGTGTTCCGTGTCTGGGGATCTCGAGCTTTTGTCCGCGATGCTTCCGCGGACAAGCTGTCCTCCCGTGCCGTTCCCAGCGTCTTCCTTGGCTTCCCCCCTTACGCACCTGGGTGGCAGTTTTACCACCCCACCTCGCGTCGTGTTTTGTCCTCTCAGGACGTCACGTTTGACGAGTCGGTATCTTACTACCGTCTCTTTCCCTACCGCACTGCCCCCTCTCCCCCCCCCGCCACTCTTCCTAGCACCAGGTGCTCCTCCGGTAGACCCTCTACCCCCTCAGGGTCCTGCCCCCTCAGGTGTGTCCCAGGTAGACCCTGTCGAGCCTCTCGAGGTAGCTGTCGACTCTGGTGCTGCTAGGGGTGCTGGGCCTGCGGGTGCGGGGTCTAGGGGTGCTGAGCCTGGGGTTGCTGAGTCTGAGGGTGCGGAGCCTGGGGGTACTGAGCCTGAGCGTGTGGAACCTGGGGGTGCTGAGCCTGGGGGTGCTGAGCCTGAGCGTGCTGAGTCTGGAGGTCCTCCGGGTGTCCCGTCACGTTGGGAGCCCCTCTCTCTGCAGCGGCTACGTAAGTGGTACGCACGGCGCTGTAGCCGTGCTGCTGGAGCTACGTGGCCTGCTGCTAGAGGTGCTTCTGGAGCTGGAGCTGCTGGAGGTGCTGCTGGTGCTGGAGCTGCTGGAGCAGGTGGTCCTGGCGGTGCTGGTGCTGGAGGTCCTGGCGCTGTTGGAGGTCCTGCTGGTGTTGGAGCTGCTGGAGGTGCTGGAGCAGCTGGTCCCGGAGGTGCTCATACTGGAGGTACTGGAGCAGCTGGGGCTAGTGGTGCTGCAGGAGTTGGAGCTGTAGGTGCTGGAGCTGTTGCTACTGGAGGTGCTGCTGGAGCTGGAGCTGCTGGAGGTACTGGAGCTGGTGGTGCTGCGGGAGTTGTAGCTGGCGACCCTGGAGCTGAGGGTACTGGTGCTGTCACTACTGTTTCTGGAGGCGCTGCGCGGCCGCGGCCGTACTACGTTCCGCTCCTTCAGCAGGTTCTTGGTCTCCCGCCTTCTACTGGTCCTACACCTCCCTTACTGAATCCTCCGCCTGTCCAGTCACAGTCGCAGTTACAGCCAGCCTCTCCACTGCCTGGTCCTTCTCCTTACTCTGGACCGACTAGAGGTCTTACGGAGCGTCGTGAGCCTGAGTCTCGTCCTGCGTCTCCTGAGTCTCGTTTTGAGTCGCCTGTTCGCGCTGTTCGCACTGGTCGACGTGTTCCGCGTCAGCGTCTTCCTCCTGTCCCCGGCACTCACTATATGACTCTGCGTCCTTCCACTGCTCCACAGCGTGTCCCTCTGCCGTCTCCTCCTGCGTCCTCTCTTCCTGACGGTCCAAATCCGGAGTCTGACTCCCCTCGTGCTGCAAGTCCTACTGTCACGCGCTTTCTGGCCACTGTTGTCACTGACCCTTCGTTTGAGTCCACTGTTGCGTCTGCTTTCATTGCTGAGCTTGTTGAATTTGCTGCCGCTTGTCGTCTAGACTACGCCGCTAGTCTTGTTGCTGAGTCTGAGTCTGCGTCTGTCCGTCCTCCGTCCGTCGGGGGTGAGTGTGCTCTTGGCACGGACGTCCTTGAGGACAGACAGGAGGAGTTTGAGTGCTTTGCCGCTGCTTTACCTCATCTCGTGTCCATGCTGCTTGCAGGGAGACCCGGATGCACCAGACATCCCGACCCCGCGCTCTTACGCAGAGGCGATAGAGGGTCCCTACTCCTCTCGGTGGCAGACAGCCATGGACACAGAGATGGCTTCCTGGAAGTCCACAGGCACCTACGTCGATGAGGTTCCCCCGCCTGGGGCGAACATCGTCAGTGGCATGTGGATTTTCAGGGTGAAGCGGCCGCCGGGTTCTCCGCCTGTCTTCAAGGCGCGTTACGTTGCACGAGGCTTCAGTCAGCGACAGAGAGTTGACTTCTTCCAGACCTTCTCCCCTATCCCGAAGATGACCACTCTTCGGGTGCTGCTGCACGTCGCCGCTCAGCGTGACTACGAGCTACACTCTCTTGACTTCAGCACAGCCGTCCTACAGGGCAGCCTGCACGAGGAGATCTGGCTGCGCCGCCCACCTGGCTTCACTGGGTCGTTTCCTGCTGGTACCCAGCGGAGCCTCCGGCGGCCAGTCTACGGTCTCCGCCAGGCACCCCGTGAGTGGCACGACACACTGAGGACGACTCTTGCTGCTCTTGGGTTTGCTCCTTCCACTGCTGACCCGTCGCTGTTTCTACACACCGACACGACTCTGCCGCCGTTCTACGTTCTCATGTACGTAGACGACTTGGTCTTTGCTATTGCTGACACTGACGCACTCGCCCACGTGAAGTCGGAGCTGCAGAAGAGACACACGTGCACAGACCTGGGTGAGCTCACAAGCTATCTTGGCTTGCGGATCACCCGGGACAGAGCACAGCGCACCATTACCTTGACTCAGTCACACATGGTGCAGCAGGTCCTTCAGCGCTTCGGCTTCACGTACTCCTCGCCACAGTCCACTCCTCTGCCTACCGGTCACTCGCTCTCAGCTCCACCTTCGGACGAGTCCGTAGAGCCGAGTGGCCCGTATCCAGAGCTTGTGGGCTGCCTTATATACCTGATGACCTGCACTCGACCTGACCTTGCCTACCCTCTTAGCATTCTAGCACGCTATGTCGCTCCTGGCAGACACTGGAGTTTAGGGTTTAGGGTATCATCTCGTAGATATTGAATAGATTATAGCCATATGAAATCATACCCGTCAATTGTTTCATGATGCTTGTTGTCAATGACACTTCTCAAAGCCGAAACGATGTGATCATACATCCCGAGGTCGGCTTGGTGCATCAAATCCGGCATCACCGCCATGTATGGGCTGCCCCATATCTTCGATTCAAACCGAAACCCATGTAGTGCACACTGGAAAAGATTAGGGGAGGGATACAATTGATTATGTTGATACTGGAATGAAGACACGGGTTGGCGTTCATCAAGCGAGCAACTTACATGGACAGGCTGGGTTGAGAAGGTTTGGGGATGTTGCTGCCCGTGTCGCCGTGCCTTTAAGGCATCCACGATGCCCGATTGTTTTTGCGCTGTGCAATACTTGTGCACGGTGGAGAAGGAAGCCAAAACATCCCTGTGGACCTTGCACAACGAACATGGGAACTTCGTACCGAGTGACTTGGTGCAAGTGAGCTTGCACGTCTCGGGATAATCAGCGACGTACGCATAGAGTGCCGGGTACGCCGCGAAGAAGTGTCCGGACTGGTCCTGCACCCTAGTGCCCCAGTCCATACATGAGGGATGGGTGGGAAGGGTGACAAGCATTTATTAGTGCCGAGAAGTCGAGAGAGGGGCAGAGAAGCCAAGAGAGGGGCAGAGAATACAAGGGAGGGGCAGAGGAAACAAGAGAGGGGCAGAGACGAGAACAGAGGGGCAGAGAGGCCAAGAGAGGGGAGGTGAAGACAAAGGAGGGGCTGGGATGGAAAGCGATAGTCAGAGAAGCCAAGCGATGGTCAGAGAAGCCAAGAGAGGGGAGGTGAAGACAAGGGAGGGGCTGGGATGGAAAGCGATAGTCAGAGAAGCCAAGGGAGGGGCAGAGAAGCCAAGAGAGGGGAGGTGAAGACAAGGGAGGGGCTGGGATGGAAAGCGATAGTCAGAGAAGCCAAGAGATGGTCAGAGAAGCCAAGAGAGGGGAGGTGAAGACAAGGGAGGGGCTGGGATGGAAAGCGATAGTCAGAGAAGCCAAGGGAGGGGCAGATAAGCCAAGGGAGGGGCAGAGAAGCCAAGGGAGGGGCAGAGAAGCCAAGGGAGGGGCAGAGAAGCCAAGGGAGGGGCAGATAAGCCAAGGGAGGGGCAGAGAAGCCAAGGGAGGGGCAGATAAGCCAAGGGAGGGGCAGAGAAGCCAAGGGAGGGGCAGAGAAGCCAAGGGAGGGGCAGAGAAGCCAAGGGAGGGGCAGAGAAGCCAAGGGAGGGGCAGATAAGCCAAGGGAGGGGCAGAGAAGCCAAGGGAGGGGCAGATAAGCCAAGGGAGGGGCAGAGAAGCCAAGGGAGGGGCAGAGAAGACAAGGGAGGGGCAGAGAAGCCAAGGGAGGGGCAGATAAGCCAAGGGAGGGGCAGAGAAGCCAAGGGAGGGGCAGATAAGCCAAGGGAGGGGCAGATAAGCCAAGGGAGGGGCAGAGAAGCCAAGGGAGGGGCAGAGAAGCCAAGGGAGGGGCAGAGAAGCCAAGGGAGGGGCAGAGAAGCCAAGGGAGGGGCAGAGAAGCCAAGGGAGGGGCAGAGAAGCCAAGGGAGGGGCAGATAAGCCAAGGGAGGGGCAGAGAAGCCAAGGGAGGGGCAGAGAAGCCAAGGGAGGGGCAGAGAAGCCAAGGGAGGGGCAGAGAAGCCAAGGGAGGGGCAGATAAGCCAAGGGAGGGGCAGATAAGCCAAGGGAGGGGCAGATAAGCCAAGGGAGGGGCAGATAAGCCAAGGGAGGGGCAGAGAAGCCAAGGGAGGGGCAGAGAAGCCAAGGGAGGGGCAGAGAAGCCAAGGGAGGGGCAGAGAAGCCAAGGGAGGGGCAGATAAGCCAAGGGAGGGGCAGAGAAGCCAAGGGAGGGGCAGATAAGCCAAGGGAGGGGCAGAGAAGCCAAGGGAGGGGCAGAGAAGACAAGGGAGGGGCAGAGAAGCCAAGGGAGGGGCAGATAAGCCAAGGGAGGGGCAGAGAAGCCAAGGGAGGGGCAGAGAAGCCAAGGGAGGGGCAGAGAAGCCAAGGGAGGGGCAGATAAGCCAAGGGAGGGGCAGAGAAGCCAAGGGAGGGGCAGAGAAGCCAAGGGAGGGGCAGAGAAGCCAAGGGAGGGGCAGAGAAGCCAAGGGAGGGGCAGATAAGCCAAGGGAGGGGCAGAGAAGCCAAGGGAGGGGCAGATAAGCCAAGGGAGGGGCAGAGAAGCCAAGGGAGGGGCAGAGAAGACAAGGGAGGGGCAGAGAAGCCAAGGGAGGGGCAGATAAGCCAAGGGAGGGGCAGAGAAGCCAAGGGAGGGGCAGATAAGCCAAGGGAGGGGCAGATAAGCCAAGGGAGGGGCAGAGAAGCCAAGGGAGGGGCAGATAAGCCAAGGGAGGGGCAGAGAAGCCAAGGGAGGGGCAGATAAGCCAAGGGAGGGGCAGAGAAGCCAAGGGAGGGGCAGATAAGCCAAGGGAGGGGCAGATAAGCCAAGGGAGGGGCAGAGAAGCCAAGGGAGGGGCAGAGAAGCCAAGGGAGGGGCAGAGAAGCCAAGGGAGGGGCAGAGAAGCCAAGGGAGGGGCAGAGAAGCCAAGGGAGGGGCAGATAAGCCAAGGGAGGGGCAGATAAGCCAAGGGAGGGGCAGATAAGCCAAGGGAGGGGCAGATAAGCCAAGGGAGGGGCAGAGAAGCCAAGGGAGGGGCAGAGAAGCCAAGGGAGGGGCAGAGAAGACAAGGGAGGGGCAGAGAAGACAAGGGAGGGGCAGAGAAGCCAAGGGAGGGGCAGAGAAGCCAAGGGAGGGGCAGATAAGCCAAGGGAGGGGCAGAGAAGCCAAGGGAGGGGCAGATAAGCCAAGGGAGGGGCAGATAAGCCAAGGGAGGGGCAGATAAGCCAAGGGAGGGGCAGATAAGCCAAGGGAGGGGCAGAGAAGCCAAGGGAGGGGCAGAGAAGCCAAGGGAGGGGCAGAGAAGCCAAGGGAGGGGCAGAGAAGCCAAGGGAGGGGCAGATAAGCCAAGGGAGGGGCAGAGAAGCCAAGGGAGGGGCAGATAAGCCAAGGGAGGGGCAGAGAAGCCAAGGGAGGGGCAGAGAAGACAAGGGAGGGGCAGAGAAGCCAAGGGAGGGGCAGATAAGCCAAGGGAGGGGCAGAGAAGCCAAGGGAGGGGCAGATAAGCCAAGGGAGGGGCAGATAAGCCAAGGGAGGGGCAGAGAAGCCAAGGGAGGGGCAGAGAAGCCAAGGGAGGGGCAGAGAAGCCAAGGGAGGGGCAGAGAAGCCAAGGGAGGGGCAGAGAAGCCAAGGGAGGGGCAGAGAAGCCAAGGGAGGGGCAGAGAAGCCAAGGGAGGGGCAGAGAAGCCAAGGGAGGGGCAGAGAAGCCAAGGGAGGGGCAGAGAAGCCAAGGGAGGGGCAGAGAAGCCAAGGGAGGGGCAGAGAAGCCAAGGGAGGGGCAGAGAAGCCAAGGGAGGGGCAGATAAGCCAAGGGAGGGGCAGATAAGCCAAGGGAGGGGCAGATAAGCCAAGGGAGGGGCAGATAAGCCAAGGGAGGGGCAGAGAAGCCAAGGGAGGGGCAGATAAGCCAAGGGAGGGGCAGAGAAGACAAGGGAGGGGCAGAGAAGCCAAGGGAGGGGCAGATAAGCCAAGGGAGGGGCAGATAAGCCAAGGGAGGGGCAGATAAGCCAAGGGAGGGGCAGAGAAGCCAAGGGAGGGGCAGATAAGCCAAGGGAGGGGCAGATAAGCCAAGGGAGGGGCAGATAAGCCAAGGGAGGGGCAGATAAGCCAAGGGAGGGGCAGAGAAGCCAAGGGAGGGGCAGAGAAGCCAAGGGAGGGGCAGAGAAGCCAAGGGAGGGGCAGAGAAGCCAAGGGAGGGGCAGATAAGCCAAGGGAGGGGCAGAGAAGCCAAGGGAGGGGCAGATAAGCCAAGGGAGGGGCAGAGAAGCCAAGGGAGGGGCAGAGAAGACAAGGGAGGGGCAGAGAAGCCAAGGGAGGGGCAGATAAGCCAAGGGAGGGGCAGAGAAGCCAAGGGAGGGGCAGATAAGCCAAGGGAGGGGCAGATAAGCCAAGGGAGGGGCAGAGAAGCCAAGGGAGGGGCAGAGAAGCCAAGGGAGGGGCAGAGAAGCCAAGGGAGGGGCAGAGAAGCCAAGGGAGGGGCAGAGAAGCCAAGGGAGGGGCAGAGAAGCCAAGGGAGGGGCAGAGAAGCCAAGGGAGGGGCAGAGAAGCCAAGGGAGGGGCAGAGAAGCCAAGGGAGGGGCAGAGAAGCCAAGGGAGGGGCAGAGAAGCCAAGGGAGGGGCAGATAAGCCAAGGGAGGGGCAGATAAGCCAAGGGAGGGGCAGATAAGCCAAGGGAGGGGCAGATAAGCCAAGGGAGGGGCAGAGAAGCCAAGGGAGGGGCAGAGAAGCCAAGGGAGGGGCAGAGAAGACAAGGGAGGGGCAGAGAAGCCAAGGGAGGGGCAGATAAGCCAAGGGAGGGGCAGAGAAGCCAAGGGAGGGGCAGATAAGCCAAGGGAGGGGCAGAGAAGCCAAGGGAGGGGCAGATAAGCCAAGGGAGGGGCAGATAAGCCAAGGGAGGGGCAGATAAGCCAAGGGAGGGGCAGATAAGCCAAGGGAGGGGCAGAGAAGCCAAGGGAGGGGCAGAGAAGCCAAGGGAGGGGCAGAGAAGCCAAGGGAGGGGCAGATAAGCCAAGGGAGGGGCAGAGAAGCCAAGGGAGGGGCAGATAAGCCAAGGGAGGGGCAGAGAAGCCAAGGGAGGGGCAGAGAAGCCAAGGGAGGGGCAGAGAAGCCAAGGGAGGGGCAGAGAAGCCAAGGGAGGGGCAGATAAGCCAAGGGAGGGGCAGAGAAGCCAAGGGAGGGGCAGATAAGCCAAGGGAGGGGCAGAGAAGCCAAGGGAGGGGCAGAGAAGACAAGGGAGGGGCAGAGAAGCCAAGGGAGGGGCAGATAAGCCAAGGGAGGGGCAGATAAGCCAAGGGAGGGGCAGAGAAGCCAAGAGAGGGGAGGTGAAGACAAGGGAGGGGCTGGGATGGAAAGCGATAGTCAGAGAAGCCAAGAGATGGTCAGAGAAGCCAAGAGAGGGGAGGTGAAGACAAGGGAGGGGCTGGGATGGAAAGCGATAGTCAGAGAAGCCAAGGGAGGGGCAGATAAGCCAAGGGAGGGCAGAGAAGCCAAGGGAGGGGCAGAGAAGCCAAGGGAGGGGCAGAGAAGCCAAGGGAGGGGCAGATAAGCCAAGGGAGGGGCAGAGAAGCCAAGGGAGGGGCAGATAAGCCAAGGGAGGGGCAGAGAAGCCAAGGGAGGGGCAGAGAAGCCAAGGGAGGGGCAGAGAAGCCAAGGGAGGGGCAGAGAAGCCAAGGGAGGGGCAGATAAGCCAAGGGAGGGGCAGAGAAGCCAAGGGAGGAGCAGATAAGCCAAGGGAGGGGCAGAGAAGCCAAGGGAGGGGCAGAGAAGACAAGGGAGTGGCAGAGAAGCCAAGGGAGGGGCAGATAAGCCAAGGGAGGGGCAGAGAAGCCAAGGGAGGGGCAGATAAGCCAAGGGAGGGGCAGATAAGCCAAGGGAGGGGCAGAGAAGCCAAGGGAGGGGCAGAGAAGCCAAGGGAGGAGCAGAGAAGCCAAGGGAGGGGCAGAGAAGCCAAGGGAGGGGCAGAGAAGCCAAGGGAGGGGCAGAGAAGCCAAGGGAGGGGCAGATAAGCCAAGGGAGGGGCAGAGAAGCCAAGGGAGGGGCAGAGAAGCCAAGGGAGGGGCAGAGAAGCCAAGGGAGGGGCAGAGAAGCCAAGGGAGGGGCAGATAAGCCAAGGGAGGGGCAGATAAGCCAAGGGAGGGGCAGATAAGCCAAGGGAGGGGCAGATAAGCCAAGGGAGGGGCAGAGAAGCCAAGGGAGGGGCAGAGAAGCCAAGGGAGGGGCAGAGAAGCCAAGGGAGGGGCAGATAAGCCAAGGGAGGGGCAGAGAAGCCAAGGGAGGGGCAGATAAGCCAAGGGAGGGGCAGAGAAGCCAAGGGAGGGGCAGAGAAGACAAGGGAGGGGCAGAGAAGCCAAGGGAGGGGCAGATAAGCCAAGGGAGGGGCAGAGAAGCCAAGGGAGGGGCAGATAAGCCAAGGGAGGGGCAGAGAAGCCAAGGGAGGGGCAGATAAGCCAAGGGAGGGGCAGATAAGCCAAGGGAGGGGCAGAGAAGCCAAGGGAGGGGCAGAGAAGCCAAGGGAGGGGCAGAGAAGCCAAGGGAGGGGCAGAGAAGCCAAGGGAGGGGCAGAGAAGCCAAGGGAGGGGCAGATAAGCCAAGGGAGGGGCAGATAAGCCAAGGGAGGGGCAGATAAGCCAAGGGAGGGGCAGATAAGCCAAGGGAGGGGCAGAGAAGCCAAGGGAGGGGCAGAGAAGCCAAGGGAGGGGCAGAGAAGACAAGGGAGGGGCAGAGAAGACAAGGGAGGGGCAGAGAAGCCAAGGGAGGGGCAGAGAAGCCAAGGGAGGGGCAGATAAGCCAAGGGAGGGGCAGAGAAGCCAAGGGAGGGGCAGATAAGCCAAGGGAGGGGCAGATAAGCCAAGGGAGGGGCAGATAAGCCAAGGGAGGGGCAGATAAGCCAAGGGAGGGGCAGAGAAGCCAAGGGAGGGGCAGAGAAGCCAAGGGAGGGGCAGAGAAGCCAAGGGAGGGGCAGAGAAGCCAAGGGAGGGGCAGATAAGCCAAGGGAGGGGCAGAGAAGCCAAGGGAGGGGCAGATAAGCCAAGGGAGGGGCAGAGAAGCCAAGGGAGGGGCAGAGAAGACAAGGGAGGGGCAGAGAAGCCAAGGGAGGGGCAGATAAGCCAAGGGAGGGGCAGAGAAGCCAAGGGAGGGGCAGATAAGCCAAGGGAGGGGCAGATAAGCCAAGGGAGGGGCACAGAAGCCAAGGGAGGGGCAGAGAAGCCAAGGGAGGGGCAGAGAAGCCAAGGGAGGGGCAGAGAAGCCAAGGGAGGGGCAGAGAAGCCAAGGGAGGGGCAGAGAAGCCAAGGGAGGGGCAGAGAAGCCAAGGGAGGGGCAGAGAAGCCAAGGGAGGGGCAGAGAAGCCAAGGGAGGGGCAGAGAAGCCAAGGGAGGGGCAGAGAAGCCAAGGGAGGGGCAGAGAAGCCAAGGGAGGGGCAGATAAGCCAAGGGAGGGGCAGATAAGCCAAGGGAGGGGCAGATAAGCCAAGGGAGGGGCAGATAAGCCAAGGGAGGGGCAGAGAAGCCAAGGGAGGGGCAGATAAGCCAAGGGAGGGGCAGAGAAGACAAGGGAGGGGCAGAGAAGCCAAGGGAGGGGCAGATAAGCCAAGGGAGGGGCAGATAAGCCAAGGGAGGGGCAGATAAGCCAAGGGAGGGGCAGAGAAGCCAAGGGAGGGGCAGATAAGCCAAGGGAGGGGCAGATAAGCCAATGGAGGGGCAGATAAGCCAAGGGAGGGGCAGATAAGCCAAGGGAGGGGCAGAGAAGCCAAGGGAGGGGCAGAGAAGCCAAGGGAGGGGCAGAGAAGCCAAGGGAGGGGCAGAGAAGCCAAGGGAGGGGCAGATAAGCCAAGGGAGGGGCAGAGAAGCCAAGGGAGGGGCAGATAAGCCAAGGGAGGGGCAGAGAAGCCAAGGGAGGGGCAGAGAAGACAAGGGAGGGGCAGAGAAGCCAAGGGAGGGGCAGATAAGCCAAGGGAGGGGCAGAGAAGCCAAGGGAGGGGCAGATAAGCCAAGGGAGGGGCAGATAAGCCAAGGGAGGGGCAGATAAGCCAAGGGAGGGGCAGATAAGCCAAGGGAGGGGCAGATAAGCCAAGGGAGGGGCAGATAAGCCAAGGGAGGGGCAGAGAAGCCAAGGGAGGGGCAGAGAAGCCAAGGGAGGGGCAGAGAAGCCAAGGGAGGGGCAGATAAGCCAAGGGAGGGGCAGAAGCAGGAGGGCAGAGAAGCCAAGGGAGGGGCAGATAAGCCAAGGGAGGGGCAGAGAAGCCAAGGGAGGGACAGAGAAGCCAAGGGAGGGGCAGAGAAGCCAAGGGAGGGGCAGAGAAGCCAAGGGAGGGGCAGATAAGCCAAGGGAGGGGCAGAGAAGCCAAGGGAGGGGCAGATAAGCCAAGGGAGGGGCAGAGAAGCCAAGGGAGGGGCAGAGAAGACAAGGGAGGGGCAGAGAAGCCAAGGGAGGGGCAGATAAGCCAAGGGAGGGGCAGAGAAGCCAAGGGAGGGGCAGATAAGCCAAGGGAGGGGCAGATAAGCCAAGGGAGGGGCAGAGAAGACAAGGGAGGGGCAGAGAAGCCAAGGGAGGGGCAGAGAAGCCAAGGGAGGGGCAGAGAAGCCAAGGGAGGGGCAGAGAAGCCAAGGGAGGGGCAGAGAAGCCAAGGGAGGGGCAGAGAAGCCAAGGGAGGGGCAGAGAAGCCAAGGGAGGGGCAGAGAAGCCAAGGGAGGGGCAGAGAAGCCAAGGGAGGGGCAGAGAAGCCAAGGGAGGGGCAGATAAGCCAAGGGAGGGGCAGATAAGCCAAGGGAGGGGCAGATAAGCCAAGGGAGGGGCAGATAAGCCAAGGGAGGGGCAGAGAAGCCAAGGGAGGGGCAGAGAAGCCAAGGGAGGGGCAGAGAAGCCAAGGGAGGGGCAGAGAAGCCAAGGGAGGGGCAGATAAGCCAAGGGAGGGGCAGAGAAGCCAAGGGAGGGGCAGATAAGCCAAGGGAGGGGCAGAGAAGCCAAGGGAGGGGCAGAGAAGCCAAGGGAGGGGCAGAGAAGCCAAGGGAGGGGCAGATAAGCCAAGGGAGGGGCAGAGAAGCCAAGGGAGGGGCAGATAAGCCAAGGGAGGGGCAGAGAAGCCAAGGGAGGGGCAGATAAGCCAAGGGAGGGGCAGATAAGCCAAGGGAGGGGCAGAGAAGCCAAGGGAGGGGCAGAGAAGCCAAGGGAGGGGCAGAGAAGCCAAGGGAGGGGCAGAGAAGCCAAGGGAGGGGCAGAGAAGCCAAGGGAGGGGCAGAGAAGCCAAGGGAGGGGCAGAGAAGCCAAGGGAGGGGCAGAGAAGCCAAGGGAGGGGCAGAGAAGCCAAGGGAGGGGAAGATAAGCCAAGGGAGGGGCAGAGAAGCCAAGGGAGGGGCAGAGAAGCCAAGGGAGGGGCAGAGAAGCCAAGGGAGGGGCAGAGAAGCCAAGGGAGGGGCAGATAAGCCAAGGGAGGGGCAGAGAAGCCAAGGGAGGGGCAGATAAGCCAAGGGAGGGGCAGAGAAGCCAAGGGAGGGGCAGAGAAGACAAGGGAGGGGCAGAGAAGCCAAGGGAGGGGCAGATAAGCCAAGGGAGGGGCAGAGAAGCCAAGGGAGGGGCAGATAAGCCAAGGGAGGGGCAGATAAGCCAAGGGAGGGGCAGAGAAGACAAGGGAGGGGCAGAGAAGCCAAGGGAGGGGCAGAGAAGCCAAGGGAGGGGCAGAGAAGCCAAGGGAGGGGCAGAGAAGCCAAGGGAGGGGCAGAGAAGCCAAGGGAGGGGCAGAGAAGCCAAGGGAGGGGCAGAGAAGCCAAGGGAGGGGCAGAGAAGCCAAGGGAGGGGCAGAGAAGCCAAGGGAGGGGCAGAGAAGCCAAGGGAGGGGCAGATAAGCCAAGGGAGGGGCAGATAAGCCAAGGGAGGGGCAGATAAGCCAAGGGAGGGGCAGATAAGCCAAGGGAGGGGCAGAGAAGCCAAGGGAGGGGCAGAGAAGCCAAGGGAGGGGCAGAGAAGCCAAGGGAGGGGCAGAGAAGCCAAGGGAGGGGCAGATAAGCCAAGGGAGGGGCAGAGAAGCCAAGGGAGGGGCAGATAAGCCAAGGGAGGGGCAGAGAAGCCAAGGGAGGGGCAGAGAAGCCAAGGGAGGGGCAGAGAAGCCAAGGGAGGGGCAGATAAGCCAAGGGAGGGGCAGAGAAGCCAAGGGAGGGGCAGATAAGCCAAGGGAGGGGCAGAGAAGCCAAGGGAGGGGCAGATAAGCCAAGGGAGGGGCAGATAAGCCAAGGGAGGGGCAGAGAAGCCAAGGGAGGGGCAGAGAAGCCAAGGGAGGGGCAGAGAAGCCAAGGGAGGGGCAGAGAAGCCAAGGGAGGGGCAGAGAAGCCAAGGGAGGGGCAGAGAAGCCAAGGGAGGGGCAGAGAAGCCAAGGGAGGGGCAGAGAAGCCAAGGGAGGGGCAGAGAAGCCAAGGGAGGGGCAGAGAAGCCAAGGGAGGGGCAGAGAAGCCAAGGGAGGGGCAGAGAAGCCAAGGGAGGGGCAGAGAAGCCAAGGGAGGGGCAGAGAAGCCAAGGGAGGGGCAGATAAGCCAAGGGAGGGGCAGAGAAGCCAAGGGAGGGGCAGATAAGCCAAGGGAGGGGCAGAGAAGCCAAGGGAGGGGCAGAGAAACCAAGGGAGGGGCAGAGAAGCCAAGGGAGGGGCAGATAAGCCAAGGGAGGGGCAGAGAAGCCAAGGGAGGGGCAGATAAGCCAAGGGAGGGGCAGAGAAGCCAAGGGAGGGGCAGATAAGCCAAGGGAGGGGCAGATAAGCCAAGGGAGGGGCAGAGAAGCCAAGGGAGGGGCAGAGAAGCCAAGGGAGGGGCAGAGAAGCCAAGGGAGGGGCAGAGAAGCCAAGGGAGGGGCAGAGAAGCCAAGGGAGGGGCAGAGAAGCCAAGGGAGGGGCAGAGAAGCCAAGGGAGGGGCAGAGAAGCCAAGGGAGGGGCAGAGAAGCCAAGGGAGGGGCAGAGAAGCCAAGGGAGGGGCAGAGAAGCCAAGGGAGGGGCAGAGAAGCCAAGGGAGGGGCAGAGAAGCCAAGGGAGGTGCAGAGAAGCCAAGGGAGGGGCAGAGAAGCCAAGGGAGGGGCAGAGAAGCCAAGGGAGGGGCAGAGAAGCCAAGGGAGGGGCAGAGAAGCCAAGGGAGGGGCAGATAAGCCAAGGGAGGGGCAGAGAAGCCAAGGGAGGGGCAGAGAAGCCAAGGGAGGGGCAGAGAAGCCAAGGGAGGGGCAGAGAAGCCAAGGGAGGGGCAGATAAGCCAAGGGAGGGGCAGAGAAGCCAAGGGAGGGGCAGATAAGCCAAGGGAGGGGCAGAGAAGCCAAGGGAGGGGCAGAGAAGCCAAGGGAGGGGCAGAGAAGCCAAGGGAGGGGCAGATAAGCCAAGGGAGGGGCAGAGAAGCCAAGGGAGGGGCAGATAAGCCAAGGGAGGGGCAGAGAAGCCAAGGGAGGGGCAGATAAGCCAAGGGAGGGGCAGATAAGCCAAGGGAGGGGCAGAGAAGCCAAGGGAGGGGCAGAGAAGCCAAGGGAGGGGCAGAGAAGCCAAGGGAGGGGCAGAGAAGCCAAGGGAGGGGCAGAGAAGCCAAGGGAGGGGCAGAGAAGCCAAGGGAGGGGCAGAGAAGCCAAGGGAGGGGCAGAGAAGCCAAGGGAGGGGCAGAGAAGCCAAGGGAGGGGCAGAGAAGCCAAGGGAGGGGCAGAGAAGCCAAGGGAGGGGCAGAGAAGCCAAGGGAGGGGCAGAGAAGCCAAGGGAGGGGCAGAGAAGCCAAGGGAGGGGCAGAGAAGCCAAGGGAGGGGCAGATAAGCCAAGGGAGGGGCAGAGAAGCCAAGGGAGGGGCAGAGAAGCCAAGGGAGGGGCAGAGAAGCCAAGGGAGGGGCAGAGAAGCCAAGGGAGGGGCAGAGAAGCCAAGGGAGGGGCAGATAAGCCAAGGGAGGGGCAGAGAAGCCAAGGGAGGGGCAGATAAGCCAAGGGAGGGGCAGATAAGCCAAGGGAGGGGCAGATAAGCCAAGGGAGGGGCAGAGAAGCCAAGGGAGGGGCAGAGAAGCCAAGGGAGGGGCAGAGAAGCCAAGGGAGGGGCAGAGAAGCCAAGGGAGGGGCAGAGAAGCCAAGGGAGGGGCAGAGAAGCCAAGGGAGGGGCAGAGAAGCCAAGGGAGGGGCAGAGAAGCCAAGGGAGGGGCAGAGAAGCCAAGGGAGGGGCAGAGAAGCCAAGGGAGGGGCAGAGAAGCCAAGGGAGGGGCAGAGAAGCCAAGGGAGGGGCAGAGAAGCCAAGGGAGGGGCAGAGAAGCCAAGGGAGGGGCAGAGAAGCCAAGGGAGGGGCAGAGAAGCCAAGGGAGGGGCAGAGAAGCCAAGGGAGGGGCAGAGAAGCCAAGGGAGGGGCAGAGAAGCCAAGGGAGGGGCAGAGAAGCCAAGGGAGGGGCAGAGAAGCCAAGGGAGGGGCAGAGAAGCCAAGGGAGGGGCAGAGAAGCCAAGGGAGGGGCAGAGAAGCCAAGGGAGGGGCAGAGAAGCCAAGGGAGGGGCAGAGAAGCCAAGGGAGGGGCAGAGAAGCCAAGGGAGGGGCAGAGAAGCCAAGGGAGGGGCAGAGAAGCCAAGGGAGGGGCAGATAAGCCAAGGGAGGGGCAGAGAAGCCAAGGGAGGGGCAGATAAGCCAAGGGAGGGGCAGAGAAGCCAAGGGAGGGGCAGAGAAGCCAAGGGAGGGGCAGAGAAGCCAAGGGAGGGGCAGATAAGCCAAGGGAGGGGCAGAGAAGCCAAGGGAGGGGCAGATAAGCCAAGGGAGGGGCAGAGAAGCCAAGGGAGGGGCAGATAAGCCAAGGGAGGGGCAGATAAGCCAAGGGAGGGGCAGAGAAGCCAAGGGAGGGGCAGAGAAGCCAAGGGAGGGGCAGAGAAGCCAAGGGAGGGGCAGAGAAGCCAAGGGAGGGGCAGAGAAGCCAAGGGAGGGGCAGAGAAGCCAAGGGAGGGGCAGAGAAGCCAAGGGAGGGGCAGAGAAGCCAAGGGAGGGGCAGAGAAGCCAAGGGAGGGGCAGAGAAGCCAAGGGAGGGGCAGAGAAGCCAAGGGAGGGGCAGATAAGCCAAGGGAGGGGCAGATAAGCCAAGGGAGGGGCAGATAAGCCAAGGGAGGGGCAGATAAGCCAAGGGAGGGGCAGAGAAGCCAAGGGAGGGGCAGAGAAGCCAAGGGAGGGGCAGAGAAGCCAAGGGAGGGGCAGAGAAGCCAAGGGAGGGGCAGATAAGCCAAGGGAGGGGCAGAGAAGCCAAGGGAGGGGCAGATAAGCCAAGGGAGGGGCAGAGAAGCCAAGGGAGGGGCAGAGAAGCCAAGGGAGGGGCAGAGAAGCCAAGGGAGGGGCAGATAAGCCAAGGGAGGGGCAGAGAAGCCAAGGGAGGGGCAGATAAGCCAAGGGAGGGGCAGAGAAGCCAAGGGAGGGGCAGATAAGCCAAGGGAGGGGCAGATAAGCCAAGGGAGGGGCAGAGAAGCCAAGGGAGGGGCAGAGAAGCCAAGGGAGGGGCAGAGAAGCCAAGGGAGGGGCAGAGAAGCCAAGGGAGGGGCAGAGAAGCCAAGGGAGGGGCAGAGAAGCCAAGGGAGGGGCAGAGAAGCCAAGGGAGGGGCAGATAAGCCAAGGGAGGGGCAGAGAAGCCAAGGGAGGGGCAGAGAAGCCAAGGGAGGGGCAGAGAAGCCAAGGGAGGGCAGAGAAGCCAAGGGAGGGGCAGAGAAGCCAAGGGAGGGGCAGAGAAGCCAAGGGAGGGGCAGAGAAGCCAAGGGAGGGGCAGAGAAGCCAAGGGAGGGGCAGAGAAGCCAAGGGAGGGGCAGAGAAGCCAAGGGAGGGGCAGAGAAGCCAAGGGAGGGGCAGAGAAGCCAAGGGAGGGGCAGAGAAGCCAAGGGAGGGGCAGAGAAGCCAAGGGAGGGGCAGAGAAGCCAAGGGAGGGGCAGAGAAGCCAAGGGAGGGGCAGAGAAGCCAAGGGAGGGGCAGAGAAGCCAAGGGAGGGGCAGAGAAGCCAAGGGAGGGGCAGAGAAGCCAAGGGAGGGGCAGAGAAGCCAAGGGAGGGGCAGAGAAGCCAAGGGAGGGGCAGAGAAGCCAAGGGAGGGGCAGAGAAGCCAAGGGAGGGGCAGAGAAGCCAAGGGAGGGGCAGAGAAGCCAAGGGAGGGGCAGAGAAGCCAAGGGAGGGGCAGAGAAGCCAAGGGAGGGGCAGAGAAGCCAAGGGAGGGGCAGATAAGCCAAGGGAGGGGCAGAGAAGCCAAGGGAGGGGCAGATAAGCCAAGGGAGGGGCAGAGAAGCCAAGGGAGGGGCAGAGAAGCCAAGGGAGGGGCAGAGAAGCCAAGGGAGGGGCAGATAAGCCAAGGGAGGGGCAGAGAAGCCAAGGGAGGGGCAGAGAAGCCAAGGGAGGGGCAGAGAAGCCAAGGGAGGGGCAGAGAAGCCAAGGGAGGGGCAGAGAAGCCAAGGGAGGGGCAGAGAAGCCAAGGGAGGGGCAGAGAAGCCAAGGGAGGGGCAGAGAAGCCAAGGGAGGGGCAGAGAAGCCAAGGGAGGGGCAGAGAAGCCAAGGGAGGGGCAGAGAAGCCAAGGGAGGGGCAGAGAAGCCAAGGGAGGGGCAGAGAAGCCAAGGGAGGGGCAGAGAAGCCAAGGGAGGGGCAGAGAAGCCAAGGGAGGGGCAGAGAAGCCAAGGGAGGGGCAGAGAAGCCAAGGGAGGGGCAGAGAAGCCAAGGGAGGGGCAGAGAAGCCAAGGGAGGGGCAGAGAAGCCAAGGGAGGGGCAGAGAAGCCAAGGGAGGGGCAGAGAAGCCAAGGGAGGGGCAGAGAAGCCAAGGGAGGGGCAGAGAAGCCAAGGGAGGGGCAGAGAAGCCAAGGGAGGGGCAGAGAAGCCAAGGGAGGGGCAGAGAAGCCAAGGGAGGGGCAGAGAAGCCAAGGGAGGGGCAGAGAAGCCAAGGGAGGGGCAGAGAAGCCAAGGGAGGGGCAGAGAAGCCAAGGGAGGGGCAGAGAAGCCAAGGGAGGGGCAGAGAAGCCAAGGGAGGGGCAGAGAAGCCAAGGGAGGGGCAGAGAAGCCAAGGGAGGGGCAGAGAAGCCAAGGGAGGGGCAGAGAAGCCAAGGGAGGGGCAGAGAAGCCAAGGGAGGGGCAGAGAAGCCAAGGGAGGGGCTGGGATGGCACTTACACATGCGAGGCTTCCTTAAGCGGTTTCAGAACCAACGAAAGCACATGTTGAAACACTTGCAAGCGATCCACAGATGTATATTCGGTAGGAAACTCGGGCAGAGTCGCGATCAACGCATGTCCGTATGGCTTCCAACGATCCTCGTGGTGGATGTTGCCAACGGACAGAGATGTCTCTGCAAAATTAAAGCTATTTTAGGAACGATAAGGCTCACTTGCACGTTGTTCCAAAATTCGCCGGTTTCTGGAGCATCATACACACGAACGCCCCCAACCCTCTTCCGATGGGCACGTGTCACGATCGGATGTTTGAGCCTTGGTTCGTGCAGAAAATCCCGTAGTGCCTGCTCAAGGATGTGGGGAAGGGAACGGAGAGAGAGGGGGAAAGGGAATGCTCAGTTGGGGGAAGGGAACGGAGAGAGAGGGGGAAAGTGAATGCTCGGATGGGGGAAGGGAACAGAGAGAGAGGGGAAAGGGATTGCTCAGTTGGGGGAAGGAAATAGAGAGAGGGGGGGAAAGGGAATGCTCGGATGGGGGAAGGGAGCAGAGAGAGAGGGGAAAGGGATTGCTCAGTTGGGGGAAGGAAACAGAGAGAGGGGGGGAAAGGGAATGCTCGGATGGGGGAAGGGAACAGAGAGAGGGGGGAAAGGAATTGCTCAGTTGGGGGAAGGAAACAGCGAGAGGGGGGGAAAGGGAATGCTCGGATGGGGGAAGAGAACAGAGAGAGAGGGGAAAGGGATTGCTCAGTTGGGGGAAGGAAACAGAGAGAGGGGGGAAAGGAATTTCTCGGATGGTGGAAGGGAACGGAGAGAGGGGGGAAGGGGAATGCTCAGATTGGGGAAGGGAACGGAGAAAGATGGGGAAATGGAATAGCATGAAGGTTGAAGGAAATGGATAGAGGGTGAAAGGGAATGATCTGAAGGGGACAAGGGCATGGATGATAGCTCACCTTCAAACTGTCACAAAAGAAAAGTTCAAGGTATTTCTTTGTGCCAACGCTTGTCTCCCCCCTTCTCCACAAACTTTAGTTTCCACGTGTCGGTGCACGTCACGTGCGGATTTTAAACCCGCAATATCTTCCAATGATGCTCCTTCATGGCCAAGAATCGAAAAAAGGGATGCAATCCCATGTTGTGAGACGCGTTCCTGAAGCACCCAGCTGGAAATTTTGTCTTTAAAGCAAAATGGAGCCGCGGGTTGGATATTTGAGTGAGTTTGGTCTAGGGAATCACTCATCCGCGACATGGATGCCTTGCCATCCGAGGCGGCTGCCGCATCTACATCGTCAACCCCGTCGAATTCTGGCACTGGGTCGCCGAACGTATGAGGAACCTCTACGTTGTCACTTCTAGAGAGACTCCAGGAACCACGCCTATGAACAGGAGTGGCAAGCGGTGTTGAATCCGTGGGTTCTGCCGGAGCTCTTAGTGCAGCGGTGATTTTGCATACATTGCTACCACGGTGACGTTCTAAACAGGATTGGCGGTAAGGCCCTGAGCCACAATCAGGACAATCCATTGAGCAAAAAAACACAAAACTACAAAGTTTCTGCTGTGTATGCAAAGGATAACACAGATTCAGGGAATTTGGAGGTGTGACTCGATGCTGCTGCACAACATTGTCATGCAGAACAAGGTCGAGGATAGATCATTGGGCTGTGTTTGAATTTCGAGTCGCACATTGGGTTTAGGGTTGCTCGCCACAATTTGCGATGCTCGCCGTTCCCTCAAATCGTGGTACCCTCAATTGCACTCGCAAGCACGTTGTCGCGAACCTGCAGGTTCCAGTGCGCAAAGCGAATTGCACGATTTGTCAAATGTGATGGCTTCAGAGCAGCCTACCAACTGGCCTGCTGATGATCAGATGCTTTCAAGATAAACGTGGGTGCCCCCAGACGCCCAGATCGTGCAAACTGGGCCCCTTTCAGTGGGTGCTGTGGGCGCCTGTGGTCGCCCAGGTTGGAGCAAAGCGGGCCTCTTCCGGTTCAGGTCCGATTCTCCGTAGAATGATGCGGTTCTTTCTCCGAATGATGCTCTGAGGTAGCCCCAGCCAAGGATCAGCAGGCCACGTTTTGCTAGTGATTGCAAAAATGCAGCAGTGCTAATGGTAGTTTGATATCTTCCAGGGCGGAAGGAACGTTTTCTCTAATCACAGGAAACGTGGCGTTTGAAAGCTCCGAGATCAAAGGCGGCATCAGTCGCGGACGAAGCAAGGCAGTAGTAGCTGGAAAGCTTGCAGGTTTGGATGGGATGGATGATGAAAGCAGCTCCTGTGTGTCAGTAAGTCAACGGGTTCACTGAGAGCTCTCAGTGCGTCAGTGGTTTGCTGATCACTCTCGGTGTTTGCACCTTTGGGGAAACTCCTTCTGACGTTCAAAAATTTGCTACTGGCAGTGGCCGCAATAGGAGGCTTGGGGTACCATGTGCGAAGTGCCATGTGGTCGTTTTTCCCCTTTCTCAAAGTTTGCGCCTCCATACATCTACCAATGTCCCGTTTGAGAGGTACATGCCGGTTGTTCAGGCGCTAGAAACGTCGCACATGCACCGCTACAAAGTGTTGCTCCACTGAAAGCATGGTAAACGTTAGCATAAAAAAGTTTGTGTGTCAGCCTCAGACAGCCCTCCAGGCAAACCGAATTTACAGGAGCAGCGGGGGGTGCTCTGAACATGACCGTGTACGGGCTGGGGTCTCCAATGTTGCTAGGCTCGGGTGTCTCTGGATCGAGATGGTTGGGAATTGAAGGTTATGGCACTGTGTGAGCTGCTAGGGGACTTAGCTGGATCGCGCGATGCTGCCATGTGGCTGTAAATAACAACGCACGTCGATTTAGCCTACATGGACAATATGGTTCGATCGCCAAAATTTCCGAGCCTGGTTTCATTAGTGATTTTGTGGTTCAGCGAACGGGTCGCAAAAGCAGCTTTCTGTTATGCATCACAACACCTTCCAGAAATGTGTTGTGTTTATAATATATATTCTTGTAAATTGATTCTTTAAGTTTTTTTTCTGTAATTTTCTAAAAACAAATCATACAGTAGTAGTCGGAAACTAAATCTGAAAAAATATGCCAACAGTTTATCTCAGCCAAAAACCATATAGCATGTTGGAGTTTGCAAATTCTTGTCATGTCTAGTTATACCGCTAGAACTGTTACTTAGCCAACTATTGCAATTTGCAAATAGATTGACAACAAGGTTAGGACATACTGAACCTTGGATTCTCAGCACAGGACGGGAAAAAAACAATTATGTTAGATATTTGTAACACCTAATCACAATAACAACAGTGACATCAATGGCAACATCAACAACAGCAGCAACAACAAGAGCAAAAGCAACAACAGCAGCAACAACAAGAACAAAAGCAACAACATTAGCAACAATGGCAGCAACAACAGCAACAACAACATCAACAACTGTCAAACTCATATGCTATAGTCTGTTTAGGCTGTAGTGGGGTAGTTGTTGACATAGGGTAGTTGTTGGCCCTGGTAGTTCACATAGGGCCAGGGCTGATTTTATCAGGGTAATTACCCTGATTTCATGGTGATTTCAGGGTGATTTCAGGCTTTCCACTACGTGGAGACTGAAATTTCAGAGTTATTGAATTTCCAGCCCTGATCCAATCAGAGTAATAGTTTAGCTATCCCTGATTTTGAGTACAGTGTAACAGACTAGGCTGTTAGTGGACCCTGACTTAACAGAGTATCGACTGTGTGGACCCTGACTTATCGAGAGGAAGTTTCTCGGAAGTTTCCTTCAGATGACCCCGCCTTGGATTGATCGCAGTAATCCCCCCACATGTGCGTAATCCCCCCCCTTCCCGCTTTATCGAGACGAAGTTTCTTCGAAACTTCGTTCTGATACACCTACCATCGAGATCGCGTGAATCTGCAATGTCAGATATACTTTGCTGGGATTGGTCGAAATAGGCTCTGACAGTGGAAATCTGTGATTCGAACAGGTGTGATTCGCCCGTTCGATCGGTACACTCGCTCCAGAAGGAACGCCTCTGAGGGTGACTAACTACAGTCGCAACGTGTCTGATGCATGCCAGCTGAAGAGATCCAATTGGGCATGGTAATAAGACAGGGAAACGTTACACTCGCACACCAGATAGGTCAATCACACCCGCCCTACACAAATCAGTCGAGTGTACAGCCAGCAGGAAACACAGCGCCCAGACTTTATGGAGAGTGGGGATATTTTTCCCGGTAACAAAGCGCGCGTTACTACCCTGATGTTCAGTTCTCGACCCTGAACAATCAATGTTAACTACTTTACAACCCTGAGCAATGAGGCTACTGCTTTTCTGGAAAATGTGCACCCATAATAGAGGGGGAAAATTTTCCCCGGAATCAGGGAGGCTTAAAATGAAACGTCAGCCCTGCATAGGGTACAACACTTTTAGGTTTCCTACTTGTACCCACCTGCTTCCTAGTTCAATCACTCATTCGTTCACTATTCTAACATGGTATTCTGAGCAGGTTCCCTAGTGGGAACGTTTTTTTAGGGCCCAACACGAAAAAAAAAATTCCTGCCCTGCCCGAAGCGCGCCTAGCGCCCTGCCCGAAGCGCGCCTCGCGCCCTGCCCTAGTGCGGCCCGTCGCGGCCCTACCTTCGCTGGTCCGTCGCGGCCCTGCCTTAGCCGCCCACTGCGGCCCTGTCCTGCCCTCGCCGCCCGTCGCTGGCCAGTCCCGGCCCGACCCGGCCCGTCCAGGCCCGTCGCCGGCACGTCCCGGCCCGTTGCCGCCCGTCACAGGCCCGTCGCCGCCCGTCGCTGGCCCATCCCAGTCGCGGCCCTGCCTTCGCCGCCCGTCGCGGCCTCTGCCCTGCAGCCGCCCTGTCGCGGCCTCTGCCATGCAGCCGCCCAGTCGCGGCCCTGCTCTGCAGCCGCCCCTGTCGCGGCCCTTTCCTGCTGCCGCCCCAGTCGTGGCCCTGCCTTAGCCGCCCGTTGCGGCCCTGCCCTACTGCCACCCCAGTCGCGGCCTCTGCCCTGCTGCCGCCCCGGTCGCGGCCCTAACCTAAACCGCCTGCTGCGGCCCTGTCCTGCACCCTCCCCTGGTAAGCACCTGCGCCGCACCGCGTGTTGCCACGCCGCGCCGCCTGCTGCCGCGCCGCGCCGCCAGGAACCGAGCCGCGCTGCCCTGCCGAGCCGCGCCGCCCAGCCAAGCCGCGCCGCCCAGCTGAGCCACGCCGCCCTATCGAGCCGCGCCGCCCTGTTGAACCGCGCTGCCCTTCTGCTTGCATTGCTTTTGCTGCCACTGCTACTACTGCTGCCACTGCTGCTACTGCTGCTGCTGCTGCTACTGCTACTATGGCTAGCCCTACTGTTCTCACCTTTGATGCTGAGGGGCGTGCAGTTGACTTTGACGTGTGGATTGACGACCTGCAGCTCTTTCTTCAGTGTGACTCTAGGGATGGGGTATCCCTGTTTGATCACACGTCTGGTGTGTCTACTGCACCTGCTGCCACTGCTGACAGTACGGTTTGCTCTCAGTGGACCACTCATGACGCTGTTGCTCGCCTTGCTGTTCGTAGTAACCTGCCGTCTGCTGAGCGCGCGCACTTTGGCCAGTACAAGACTGCTCAGTCTTTGTACGACGCTGTAGTAGCGCGCTACTCCTCCCCTTCCACTGCTGCCCTCAGCCGCCTCATGCTACCGTACCTGTTCCCTGACCTTGCCGCTTTTGCCACAGTCGCTGACCTCATTACTCACCTCCGCACTAGTGACGCCCGCTACCGAGCTGCGCTTCCCACTGAGTTTTGTGCGAAGAACCCCCCCCCCCATGTACATCACCCTTTACTACCTAGTCACCCACCTCCCTGTCTCCCTTGCTTGAGTCAGGGACCACTTTCTCTCCCTCTGCCCCACCGAGCTCACTATCGACCTGCTAGAGGAGCGCCTCACTGCAGCTAAGAAGAGAATCTTAGTTTGTAGGTGCTTCTCGCGGCGACCGTCGCGCCCCTTTCTTTGAGGGGTGTTCTACTGTCCCCCTTCTCCCCTCTGTTGCTTCTGCTGCTGCTGTCGACCTCGTTGGCACTGAGGAGGTCGGGGCTGCATCTGCTCCTAGAGGGAGGCGCCGCAACGGCAAAGG